TTGAGCGCAGATGTTAGGTGGATGGTATTGACTCCGGCTTTGTCTGAGTAAACCCCAACTCTGAATAAATGAGAAGCTCTGGGGAAGCTCTCTTTTCTTCTACCCCATCTTGTCGTCCATGACAGACATACAGAGGAAAGCAAGCTGGGCAGCCACTCCCCACAGTGGTTAAGGACCTTGCTCAAAGGGCCACAGACATGACCACTCTATCAAGGCCACGACTCGAACCAGTGACCTTCCAATCACAAGCACAGAGGCTTAGCCCACTGAGCCACACTGAACAAGCTGGTAGAAAAAGAAACATCTCAGTAGATGCAATGATTCTTTTGACCCATCTGAAGCGTACAATGTGAGGACTACATTCACTTTGCACTATGAGGACTACATTCACTTTGCACTATGAGGACTACATTCACTTTGCACTATGAGGACTACATTCACTTTGNTACATTCACTTTGCACTATGAGGACTACATTCACTTTGCACTATGAGGACTACATTCACTTTGCACTATGAGGACTACATTCACTTTGCACTATGGGGGCTGTCTTTGCACCTTCTCAGAATGGCAGTTTATGTGTTTTTTTCTGTGTACTATACTCTTGCTGCTCTATGCACCAGAGTCTCTTCAACACAGTCCCCTGGAAAAGTCCCCTGTAGCGTAACTGCATAGATAGTAAGCATTAAAATGGGTCAGGCTCCTGCATTTATCTCACGCTCTCCCTCTCTCAGGCCCTTCCTGCACCTAAGACCTGTGTTTTTACTTTTTATTTTTTCCTCAGGGTTCCAGGTTTTTGTAGGTTAAACCATAACTTTGCCGCATTTGGAACACAACAATATTCTGAGTGTCTTCTGTTCTCTAGAAACTTAAATCAAGACCAGGCTTGCAGTTAATCAGGAAGTGAATAACCGTGACTAAGTTAGTTGTTGCTGCCTCAGCAGTCGCTCTGACGTGAACGACTCTGGACAGTGGCTTTGATGGTGTTCCCGTCCAGCTGTGTTGGATGTTGGCCGGTATGGTTTGCCGAGAGCGCAGGCAGCCTGATGAATTCACCTGGGCTCAGATGATGAGTCCAATTGTGGTTTTAAAGAAGGAGAACAGTATGTCGATGACACATGTTGCCTGATTTTTAAATGTCATGCTCTCAGGTAGAGAGCAACAATTGACAATGTGGTGACTCAAAAGCCAGAAGTTCTGAAGTGCTTTTGTAGCTCGAAATGGGACACTTAGCTGAAATACTTTCCTAAAATAATCAGTTCTGTAAACTTAATGAATTACATCCCTAAGGTAACACTCTAAATTAACTGCATCTTCATAATGCATTCATAATGCATTATAATAAAAAATATATATAATCAAACAATCATTTAATGCTTGTTATTAATGTATATACAGTAAAGGCTGTTAAACTTTTGTTAGGATGTTAAGGTATACTTACATGCTATTTATGAATGTTCTATAAATGCATTATGAAGATACAGTTAATGTAAAGCATTATCGCCCCTTGCACTAATGTAAAATATCAATCCATCTATCTCCATCCACTTATCCAGTACAGCACTGTCTCCCAGTCCGGTCCTTGGGGACCCACAGACAGTCCTTGTTTTTGCTCGGGAGCTGGGAGGGAGCAAAAACGTGGACCGGCTGTAGGTCCCAGAGGACCGGACTGGGAAACTCTGCAGGGTCACGGTGAAGTGTGGAAGTGTGACGCGCGACCCACTGAGCCACCATGCGCACCCATTAAAAGATCAACCACGCAAATAAACACACAGCGCCGTTAAATGGCTGCTTACTTGTTGGCGTTATGAAGAAAGGATCAGCTCAGGAACATTGAAGCATTCTCATCTAATGACTGAGCTCAGATCCCTGTTGTTTATTTATTTATTTTTTGAGTATGATGCATATCGCTTCAGCAAACAGCCAGGCTGCATAAATAATCACATCAATGAGGCTTCAGACCTCAGAGTGGGTGAGATTATCACGTTCTGTCAGTGACTGGACTTGCAAAGCCACGCGTCGTTTGTCGCCGCTTTTGAATTCCGAAGTGGGTATAAGGTGATGCGTTTCACGTGGGATCGGGACTCCTTTTGGGTTCTTCTTAGGATCTTGTTATCATTAACCCTCTTGTTCTCAAATGCAAATAGTGTCTAAAGGGGGCAGCGCAGGAAGTGCTGTGAGCTGGAGTTAATAAGCGGACACACTGGCACGAGCGTACTTCGGAGTCCATTTCAAACTAGCTGTTTGTTTCGGCTAGCAAACTTTCGGACTGTATAAGTCCATGTTTACGGTTAGACGTAATCGGAAAGGAAAACAGCTACATTGGTTATGGGCTTATAGGAAATGTTCCCAAATGACCTCAGGCTAATCTCAATTCAAAATACTTATTTCAGCTCCCCGATCTGGTTATTCCATGGGTTAATTCTGTGGGTTTAAAAATGCTTGCCAGCACGCCTGTTCGGGACAGGAATTGAGTTGGGGTGAATAGAAACCGACAGCCCTGTTATTATAAGTCCTAATGTATCACCTACAGCATCTGATGCCAAATAGAATTTACCGTTAAAAAGGGAGACGGAACATTAGTCAGAACATAGTCATAGCTAAGGCGCCGAGAAGCGGAGTCAGTAGAAAAATCACCTTAGAAAAATTTAAGTGGGAAATATTTTAAAGAGACATCTAATGAACAGCATACGAGTGGGACCACACTTTTTGATACAAGACCTCGCCAACAGGGGGCGCTTTGTGTTCTTATTTTTGCTTGAAAATTAATCCTCTGCACACAAACTGTAGCTATGGATAATTAAATTTTTTTAAGGCAGATCATTGTTATAAAATTTACATCCAGCCGCCCACAGAATTCCTTGGTGCTGGCTTTCAGAGCCATTTATGGGCAGGCATTCATCTCCATTTAGAGGCTCCTTGTGACCTTTGTCCCTCACTTGTAAGTCACGTTGCACAAAAGCACCTGCTAAATAAATGCAAAAATGTAAATGTTAAATTTCCTGGAGATGAACTGCCAGGGTGTCCAGGGTTGGCCCCAGCCTTGTGTCATGCGCTGCCTGTGATTGGCTCTGGTCCACCACCTACAAGCCTGCACTGGATAAGCTGGGAGAAGATGGATGGATGGATGGGTGGATGGATGGATGGATATGAGCTAATCAACTCCCTAGGTGACATAGGTGGCCTTCTAGGGCACCAACCTCTGAGAGGCTCTGACTTACAGCAGCTGTGCGAGTATGAACCAGACCATAGCAAACCAATTCTAACTGCACACGGTGCACACTGACTGAGACTAATTGAAATCAGCTTGCTTTCACCCCTAAACGTACTCATGCCCTCCGCGGTGCTGGCACAGAACATCTGCGAGATGCAAGGGGAGGCAAAAGGTGTCAAAGATACTGTTAGGTGAAGCAAAGATGCGGTCAAATGATTAATTTTAAAAATCACGATTAATTGCACACCTTATACAATCATGTACAATCATCCTGTAATGATAACAAAAAAGACTTTTTATTCAGCATAGAAATTAAGTTCTATTAAAATCATTGCTCAAACTATTCTCTGATTGTTGTATCAAAACTAACAGTTAAAGTAAAGGCGATCAAAGAAATAACTATGACTTTGAGATTAAAACTTTTACTTTTTAATGCGTCAACTTTGACAGCCCCTAGTTCTTTAATTTATTCTTAAAATTATCATTGTTTGGTCATACTGTGTGAAAGATGTTTTTATTTGTGCATTTCCTTCAAGGCATCTGTCATCTGAGGTTATCACTACTGCTATTATTATTATTATTAGTAGTAATAGTAGTAGCATTTATTTTCTTATTTATTATATAATAATGTTACTCAATATAATGTTATTTGTTGCATTATTAGACTATATTCAACAATAAACAAATTTCATTTCTTTAATTCCACCATTTGGACATTTATTTTGGGATGTATGTAAATTAGTAAGTATGTATGTATGTATTATTATAAACACACACACACACACACATGTAAATTAGTAAGTATGTATGTATGTATTATTATAAACACACACACACACACACATTTATAGGAGTCAGAGGGGTATGGTTACCCAGCACTTCACTGGGGCCCTTGAATACTAAGTAAAATAATACATAAAAATTGCCGGGGGGGCAATCAGACGAGCTTGATGGGCCGAATGGCCTCCTCTCCTTTGTAAATTTCTTATGTTCTTAAGGTGACGTTTTGTCAGAGGGGCCAGCATTTCTAGATCGGCCCGCGTGTAGGACTGTCTAACTTGAGATAAAAGTGTCGTTCAGAGCGCTGTTCATTTTTCTCATAAGAAATGATTTATTCTCTACCATCTTCACGCCATAACAACCCCCGCATAAAAATATTAAATGTAACGTAATAAGTAGAAATTCGCGTGTAATTCTAGTCCAGTGTGCACCTGGTCAAAACGATCAGGCAAATACACTGATAGACTGTGCTGCACGCCTGCTACTCCAATGAACAGAACCGACGCGCGGACTAGATGCATATGTAAGCGCCTGTTCCCACATTTTTTTTTTTACCTGGGATTATACTGACACCATCCGGAGAAAGCATACACAATAACACAATACACAATGACAGCATTTATATGTCATTATATTTAAATGTATGAGGTGCAAACACTGAACTTAAAACACAAGCACTTGATTATGTTGTCATAAGGTAATCGAAAGGAAATACTCGATTTAAAATAAAATCAAATTTGAATTACGGGTACCTTTGCAAAAATGTCAAATGCCCTTCATAAATATTAAAAAAACAATCTATATGAAGTGCATTTCAAGAAACATTTGAAAGACAAGAACCGCAGGCTTTGTAGTAATACTACATACTTACTAAAGTTACATTTCAATTCGAAATAGGTAATTTATTTGAAAAACAGCTTGATTTAATTTTCTGTAAAAAAAAAAAAAGTAAATAAAATAGGTCTATAGAATGTAACAGGACGCAGCGCTCCCTGCCGGGTTTAACCTCGCCGCGCCGGGGCTCCGCGGAGCCTTCAAGCCGGACCGCGATCCCGGAGCCGCCGAGCCCCCGCATGTCGTCAGTTCCGCTCGACGGTGCCGGTCTGAAGAAAGTGGGCTGGACGTAGCCAGCGACTGGTTAACATACACAAAAAAGGCAAGAAGGCGGCGAAGGGGGGGAATCAGGCAGTTATGCATTAAGACAACATAACGGGGGAAACAGACAAACTGTCATTTTGTGAATGTATGTAGTCGTGAGTCTTGTTCGGGTTAAGGAAAAAAAATACGGGTTCTCGGAGACTGCCTTCTCATCGTAAGCACTGGTGGAACACACTGGTTGGCTCGTCTGTCTAATTGGGAAGCCTGGGCTTTGACACGGGTGAGGTAAGGCTGCCTTATGAATAATATAAGGTATGTGGCGTGCGAACCGAAGTGAGCCCAGCCGAGTGGGTCGCGATCGCAGATCGGCCTTTTGCGACGTCGGCAGCAGAAATAAACATTAAATAAAACGCGAACCCGTTCGCCGCTGGGTGCAGATAATGGCTGTTTTTCGTGAGCGGGGCCTTTGCGGGAGGACATCCCGACTGCCGGCTCCGTCACTTTACGTCTTCAGGTGTGGAGATCAGGGGGGAAAAAATAAAACGCGGCTTCTTGCAATAAACATTCAGTTTGCCCCAAATCTGCATGCCATGCAAGGTTGTGTAGTAACGGGGATCTGCTGATAGGGAGCCGGATGTGGCAGGGGAGGTGCTGCGGGCGACCGGTCGGTCCCTGGCCGTTCCGTGCGATCAGGAGGCGCTTTCACACCTGAGGCCAAATAAAACACGCAACAAGTTACAAAAACGGCAGATGATATTACTCATATTATAAGTAGCACTGAGATTTCGTTACAAGTACACGGTAGCTGTTTACTGACACACTAGGTCAGTTTCCCAGAGCAGACCATGAAGGTTTGTGCCAAGATGTTTGTTAAAGATTGTCTTCTTAGTCCATGCACTCCTATTATCAACATTTACACGTTATGGACAGCCGAGCCCCGGAGAGCTATGTACCAGGTAGTGGTCTGATATAGGCCAATCTCATATTAATATCTGGAAGCGCGTTATGTTACATTTGTGTTCAGTTATTTCCCCCCCGATCACTTTGTGCAGCAGTGGCGACTCTGCTATTTGACCCTGTAAGTGAGAAAGAACCGCTGAGGTGTAGAATCGCCTGTGATGTGTAAGTCTCTCTAAGCACCGTTAGGGTGAACGCTGGATACCTACAGACATTTATAAGGTTCAGTCTCTCCGTTAGTGCACTTGATGGAAATAATTCCTATTCAAGAAATTCACCGAGAAATAAAGGGGAACGACGTGGGAATTTCAGTCACTTATTTCTTTAACGCTCATCTGTGCTATGTTATTATGATTTATAACTTTTTTTAAAATGTAGTCTTATTTAAGATTCCCATTTTAATGGACTTTGCGAGTGACTGGTGGCATCCATTGAATTGCACTGTAACGGAGGGCTGCTGTGAAAATCTCCAGCTCCGGCTGCACCTGCCATTGTGAGTCCGGCAGTATGTTGTTTACCAGCCCCCCCGCCTTTAAGAGCTGAGTAAACAGGGTCGGAAAGGACGTTATGAAACGCCGTGTGGAGGAGCTGGTCCCGCCGTTCTCACCCCCAGCCCAGTGCGCAAACTTACGCTTCCCTGTCGCGCTTCGATTAATTTTATTGGTACCCCCCCCACTGAGGTACCAGCGAACCTAACTTTTAACTTCTAGTGCGCAAAACAGTGAAATTACCAGAAATATTCAGCATTTCTCCATGTTTACTAGGGGCTCGGAGGTTTAATTACTTAGGGTAGTGTTTCCCAAAGCAGTGCTGGCCGGATCCACGTTTTTGTTTTATCCCAGTTCCCAGCACACCTGACCTAAGCTCTAAATACCTTACAGGTGTGCTGGGAACTGGGATAAAACTAAAACGTGGACCCGTGCAGTGTGGCCTGAGGACTGGTTTGGGAAACGCTCACTTAGGATGTTAGAAGGAAGTGAGGTGAAGAAGTAGAGGTATGCTGATTGACATCTTCATTTTGGTCCAAAGGTCTTTGATCATTCTGATAAGGCAGGGCACTGCTTTAAGGAAAAAGGGAAGATCTGTTTCTTTCTTTTTTTTCATTTTAGCCACACCCCCTTGCCTCCCCCAGGCCATAGTTTGCCAGCATGGCTGAGAGCATAATGAGCAAGGCAGCCACTATGGAGATACCCATCAATAGCAACGGAGACACCAGGGCTCTCCCAGAGGACGACAGCCTCGAACAGGTGCGTGGCCTTCCTGTTTCCTCCCTGTAGGGGGTGCTGTGTTTTGGTCATTGGGAGAAGACCTGGGGGGCTGCTGGGGAGGATGTGTCGCTGTCTGTCCATCAGTCCTGCTGAAGTAAAATGAACATCTCTATTCATTTCCACGTTATTGTGCATATTTCATTTAAGAGGTCATACAGGGTAAATGTACCGTGGAGATTAACATAGCATGGGGTGGCATTCGGCACCCCATCTGCCTCTTTAACGTGACTCGACTCTATTTGGATATTTGTCCTTGGTGAGCTGATAAGACCTGTGCCGTGCTCAAAGTCTTTAGGACGGCTTGCTTTTAAAAACTCTGAGAAAGAATTAGTTGGCCAACAGGTGACGTTTCTGTGTGTGTGTATGTGTGTGACAATAAGGATTATTTTAGGCAGTTCAACAGATGTGTACTCTGCACTGGAAAAGAAGCAGGGCAAAGACTATAATCCAGTAATCCAGTTCTCAGACGTCTGTTGTTAAGAGAGCGGGTGTGCAGTGTGTATTTCAGTGCATTTCTGGATTCCCATTCCTTAAAGCCACTCTTCTCGCTGTCAGGGTGTTTCCCAAAATGCCACTAGTGAGGTGACTCGGCCTCTTAGAATGGGAGGGATTCATAGTCGTTCCCATGGGCCGGGCTGCAGTGCGTAATGGCCACTCGCACGGCCTGCTCACTTAGGCAAACAAAAGTGGCTCCAGATCCGGGACAAGCTTAGCTGTTTGCCCAGTTATGTACATTCTGGGAGTGCAGGTAAACTGGTGTGTCAACTGAGTGGAGGGCTGGCCTTCTTAGCCTTTCTGCTGGCTTTATGTGTGTGTTTCTTTGTCACAGTTTATTTAATTTTCGTTCAGACATTTGTGCTGCTTGTATGTTCAATGGTCTGGTCTGCTTTTGTGCTGCAGAACTTTCGGACCAGCTTGCTTGGTCTCGGCATCCCTTTTGGGTTCTGGACCCAAACGCCCACTGGCTGCTCTCGCCGCCGCCTCCCCATCTGCTCGGTGCCGTCTGATAGCCTCCTTGCTGAAAAGCAGCGGGTTGCCTCGTGCACAATGTGCCGCCTTTATGTGACATTATTTATCGGAAGGGTAATTAGTCCGTCAGTGAGTTTTGTCGGACGAAAGGCTTGCGGACAGGTTCCTGGGTGGGGCTTGATCTGAAAGGGCTGTGACCCCTCTCTGTGTTTTTAAGCCCCCACCCCCACAGCTGCCAATATGCCCAAATACCCTTCAGCTTCCCTGAGATCACAGTGAAAGACCCGTGATGATTTTTGTGGTTTGGTTACTTTGGGGAATCTGGGAGGGAATCCACTGCAGAATCAGCAAAAATGTCTTTCTCTCCATTCTGGGAAAAAAAAAAAATCAGTTTTATTCTTTGACAGCAGGTTCTTCCAAGGATCTGGCACTGCGAAATATCACCAGTGGCAACATTTGTTCATAATAGAAAATGCTCAGTAATGAGTGGTTGTGGTGGCATGGATACTGGAATATGTGTGGTTTGAAAGCACCAGTATGATCAGTGAGTGTCCCTCCGGTGATAATACAAGAACTGATTCAAATAAGAGAAGAAATGCAGGTGCAGCACTGCGATGGTAGGTGTGGGTTTTTGGTTCTTATTGATTCCCCCCCCCCAGCAAATCTAGTTTATTGTCATGGCATGTACAATCAGGAATTTAGGGGTGGGGTGGACTTGGGTTTCATAACACTTTTCAGGACATTGGCATTGCCGCTGGGGCCAGTCGGACAGGAACGGTCGACAGCATGACTGTAAGCCGGAGATCAGGCAGGCTACGATCTTCTGAGGGTCTCGGGGGGGGATTGGGGGGGTCACTCCTGGGCCCTTTCCAGCAGTATAACAGACGGCACTGACAGCACCTCCCTGCTGTCTCAGACCTGAACACCTGCTAGTTACCAAAATGTGCTTCGGCCTCCCAGCGCTATTTCACGTTATTTTCCGCCATCATGGTGCGGCAGATTTTATACCGGCTCTGAAAAGCCCTATTGTTGTCCGTGGCCTTTTTGCCATCTCGTATGGTCTGAGAACCTTTTGTCTCGCTGTGGATTCTGCTGTCCATGGGGGCAGAGGGAGCATTTTGTGTCAGAAACAATTTCACCTTCTACTCCAGTGCATTTCTTTAGCAACACGCTTCTTTTAGTTTTATAATTTGCCAACTTTATCTTTCGTTTCCTATGTCTCTCCTCCATTGTTTTTTTTTGTTTTGGTTTTGCGCCTTCCTGTTTATCATTTGTCCTGTGTATTTTTTTTCCTTTATTTTTTTTTTCCCTCAATACAGGCTGCACAAGGTCAGTGGCGCATAAATGAGAAGGTAGGGAACCCCACAGTGACCAGGGTGAGGAAGGGGGTCGGACCGGAGGTCTGGGGGTTCCTGTGTGGGCCTTTTTGGGGTGGGGGTGTTCCTCCTGTGTGTGCCTGTGTGTGCGTGTGCGTGTATTAGAGGCGCATGCAGACTAACACTCTTTAAGTTATAGGATGCTTTTCAAAAATGTTTAGATGTTTTGATGATATACAGCCATGCGTCGTTTAACGACGGGGATGTATTATGGGATACTGTGAGGCGAGTTCGTTGTTTTGCACACATACAGTGCACTTACACACACCTGGATGGTGTAGTCTACTGCACACCTAGATTGTATTGTGTAACCTAAATCTTCCTGGGTTCTGATGAGCCACACCTGTTCCTGTTATGTACCTGAGAACAGGTCTGTCCCATCAGAAGCCAGGTAGGATAGAAAACCTACTGGACAGTAGCTCTCCAGGACCGGAGTTGGAGACCCCTGACCTAAATAACGATAAAAAGTACAATATAGTTAATACAAAAAGTAGTAACATACTTGATATTGATAATAAGCAAATATGATGTACTGTACATAATTGTATGTGCTAAACTTCTATATTACTGGCAGTGCAGTCGATTTGTTTACATCAGCATCACCGCAAACACGCCAGTAATGCATTGTGCAATGATGTTATGGCACTTATGATGTCACTAGGCACTAGGAGTTTTTCAGGTCCTTTATAATCTTATGCGACCGCCGTCATGCGTGCGGCCAAAACGTCTTTATGCGATGAATGACTGTATAATGATCCTTTGGTGAATCTGTCCCTATAAGGAAGGATTTGAAAAGCATCCTGTATTAATGCTGTCATTTCATACTAACATACGGTGTTGGTATGTTGGCCTGGTTCATAACAGAATTTTAGTTTGTTTGATGGGTGTTTATTAATGCTTTTATGTACATGTGCATGTCTATGGTCTGTTAGTAATATTATGCTGGAAAGAGGACACCGGAATCAAACCCACTGCATCATGGGAGCTGGCTCTTCTCGTTGATGTTAGCTAACTCTGATTATGCGGTCTGTGAAAATAGCCCCTTGACAGTCAGACTGCCCTTTTTAAAGGTATTCCATTCACTTCAGCCAGCCCTGCCTTATAAGTCTCCACATCTTAAATTTATTCTTGTATTTTACTTAGGAAAGTACTTTGTCCTAAATGACTTATGTAGTCATGACATTTGGACCTATAGACATACACACCTTGGTTTTTTATTAGCTAAAGCAGTCGCTCAAAGGTACATTTGCTCCCCCTCCAGATCTTTAAACCACCATCTGGTAACACCTGCTCACCTTAACCACTGCGCCACCTACTGCGTATAATTTTCTGTGTTTTGGTGGGATGCCGGTCCTTTAGTAATTTAGGGGATCTGCTTGATTGGGATTTTAAATTCGGATCTTTCTCGTTGCAATTGCAAAATAATTTTATTGGTATTGCAGAAATGTGGGATATTGCTGAAGCACTGTTTCAGTACCAGTCAAAAGTCTGGACACACCAGCTTTTAATGCATTTGTCTCACTTTTAGCGGTTATTCACCTTATAGTAAAAGGCCTTGAGGCAATGAGGTAATACATGACAAATATTGCAACAACCAAGAGAACAGGGCTGAACGATTTATCAGTTTCACATTGAAATCACGTTTTGAAGCAACGCAATAAGCAAATCACAAAGACTACAATTTACGATATGAATTATACAGCATGTATGACCCAGGGTTTAAAACTGTTGTGAGAATATTTTTACAAATTCTTGCAGTCCTCTTTATGTGAGTTATTATCACCAATCAGAAGTGCCACGCTCCTCGTGTGCCAGTCATGATCACCAATCAGAAGTGCCACGCTCCTCGTGTGCCAGTCAGTAATTTGATTCATCAGAATGAGACATGAACATATGAATGAATGTAATTCAGTAGGTTACACACAGTTTGATTTCATTTCTGTGGTTTTTCATAAGCAGGCAGCATTTTTATAAATTAACTAGAAAAGTGCCATTTTAATATTCTAATAATTATATATTAATAAATCAGATTTTACAGACAAAAAGATGGTAGAAACAGTGGACCTCAAATTCATTCCAAATTGTACCCGATGCATGCTTTTTTAACAGGGGCAAACGCATTGTGAACTTTTATGCCAGTGCACCGGATGTGAATTGGTGAATCTTACCATCCTTGCACTAGAATATAGAGCAGTAAATCGTTTGATGGTATCTCATATAGTAATGCTGAGCAACATGTTTAAAATCTATTACACAGTAAATACTGAACCCAAGCATGACATCACGATTGCAATATCTGTCAGAAAAATCACAATTATATATTTTCCCCAAATCGTTCAGCCCTACAAGCAAATTGTTCAGCATCTTTTGAATTTTCTCAAATTGTAAACTCTTCTAAATGACAGCATTGCAGACTCTTGCTATTCTTCCAACCAGCTTCCAGATGTAGCCACCTGGAATGCTTCTCCAACAGTCCTGATGGAGTTTCCACAAGTACTGGGCACAAGTTGGCTGCCTTGCTCTTACTCTTCGATTCAGCTCCTCCCAATCCAGCTCTGTAGTGTTTTGGGGGATTATGGGGGGTTGTGGGGGGTTGTGGGGGCCAGATCATCCATCACAGCACTCCATATCTTTCCTCATTCACAAGATAATACTCACTATATAGGTTTGCTTAGGGTCGTTATCTTGTGGAAAATTTTCAGTAGATGTATCTAGACTATTGACTGGTACTATGTGCCCAAGGCAAACGTTATCCCTCTTATCGCTGTATTTTATGACCCCCCCCCTCGTTTGTATGGGGGGCCTTTATGACAAAACGGCGTCCTTTGCAATGTGGAGTTTACTCTCTCTGCCGTCTCCTGCCCCACAGAATACGGTTCTGCTTCAGACCGCAAGACATCCGTGTGACATTGTGAGCTCTGTCTGAGGGGAATGCAGCTTCTAATTAAATATTAGTGTAATTTTAGCCCATTCGTTTCACTGTGTAAGCTGTACCCCTGCTTCACACACAATATCTACACTTTACCTTGTGTGAGTAAATCAAACCATGACTCGTGATATCCCAAGGGGTGGGGGCGTAGAAATAAAGGGTAGGGTGGAGGAGTGTAGACAGAGAGGAGGGGGTCGTAGACATACACAATGCAGCTACTATTCTGTTAATCCCTGTCAGAGTTACTGTGTGGCTTCTCTGCATTCCCTGAGAGAGTGAATGGGCTCTTGTTCTCATTATCTTGTTATCGCTCTCATTTCTGCTGTTGAATGATCTACTCCCCCCAATGCTGCCCCCACCCCCCCATCTGATGCAGGATCTCCAACAGGTGATGGTGTCCGGGCCAAACCTAAACGAGACCAGCATCGTCTCAGGCGGTTATGGAGGCACTGCAGAGGGCATCATCCCAACCAGCTCCATTAAAGGTAACACCCCCCCCCCCCCCTTATGGGGACCGCTTATTCATTTCAATGGGAAAAATGCTAACGCTAACTATGACAACCTTAACCCCTACCCTGCCCTAACCATAAGTAACCTAACAAAATACAAGAGTTTTTGCATTTTATCAGTATAAAATGCAAATCGTTTTTTTTATAAAAAAACGATTTTTATAAAATAGAGTTTTCCCTTATGGGGACCAGGAAACCGGCCCCCATAAGGGGAAAAAAAACGGATATTTATCACGTTATGGTGACATTATGTCCCCATCAGGATAGGTAAACCTGCTCGCATGCACATACAAACATTCACATTGATTTATATAGCAGGTGCTTTATCCATAGTATAATTGAGAGAGCAGAGTCCACCAGGCCCTGGAGGAACTACGGTTAGGGGCCTTACTTAAGTGTCCAAAAGTGACATCACTCTGCCATCCATGGGATTTGAACCTGTGACCTTGCCGGTCCTGACCCCACACCTCCCTGGAGAAGAAAAGGGGAATATTAGAGCCACAAACACCTACCATGTTGTTCTACTTCCCTCTGCCACATCTAGCCCATTTGGTGCCTCTGTTCTGCAGCCATCTTGTTTCCCATGAGTCTTTGCAGCTTCAAATAATGAAAGACGATCTCAATACAGACTCGGTGATCACTGCCACCCACCCCCTCTCCCCCCACCCCAGGAAGTTACATTTTTATTGGATACAAAAACCCATAGCGTCTTGTAACTTGTATTGAAAAAGAGAGGACCTTTTGACCACTTGCGTTCTGAATGCAGCCCCACAAAGCAGTCAGCCGACTAGCCCAAATATGGCCGGTGGTGTTTTTGTAAGTAAACAGTTCATGGCTGTTTCTAAAGTTAAGCCATAAAAGGTAAAGATCGTTGCTTTTTGGTTCATACCAACGAGGGTGGGTGTGTTTGAACCTCCAGAGAGTGAATTTAGGGGGCGACTCCCCCTCCACTTTACCCACTTTAGTCATTTTGTGGAACTATTTACACACTTTTCTTCTCTCTCCTTATCACTTGTGTGCCACAGGTTTGCTTGCATGATGGTTAATTTGCCATTTGTAACAGTCTACTATAAATACCCCCCCCCCCCAAAATATGTGCTTAAACAAGCTTGTAGTCTCGATATGCCCACAACAGAATAGGTACATGACCTCCTTTCAGGTAATTAACTATGGCTCCATGTGTGAGGAGTTTGCATGTTCTCATGGGGTTTCCTCGCACAGTCCAAAAAGGTCACATCATCACCTGCCCCCCACGCTCGCATGTGAGAATGGTATGTGAATGTGTCCTGCAATGGGTTGGGGTCCCGTCTTGTAAATAGCACAGGTGGGTACAGAAGGTGGATGGCTATATCACAGAAGTGATTGTATAAATGGGCAGTTTGCTCGTTTTCCACATATGACATGTATATGTTGAATGTGTAATGTCTGTATGTAACACTTTGCGGCCACGTGTGCCTTCCCTTTAGCAGGTGTCCTCTTTGCCTTTCCCTTTGCGCTGCTGGCCTTGCCCATCACGCTCCCCCAGGCATCACTAACAGATCCCCTGCGCTGATACCCCCCTCCCCAGGGCCCGCCATCCATCTCAACCCAGGATATCTGGGAGGCAGACGTATCCCAGCCCCTGGACAAGGTGTCTCCTCCTACTTCCCAAAATCACATGCTCTCCTCTTTAATCAGTCTCAAGGGGAAACTCCTTTTTTGTCTCAAACCACGTCTTGCCTTTCCGCAGGATGTAACCTGGTCTTGTCCAATCGGCTGTTCCTGTCTTTCTGGTGGGAGTGGTTAAGGCTTTGTAATCACCAATCAGTGTCTGACTTTTTCTCTAGGGGAGTGTTTGTGGTTTTGCTTTCCCAGTTCATTCCCATCACCCAAAAGCAAAGCGTCCTTTAACCGTGAGAGAGCCTGCTGGCACTCGGATGGTAAACTCTCACCAAGAGCCTGTCCGACGCAGCGGCACCGTTCCCAGATGTGAGCTCGCGCTTAAGAGCCACGCTGTTGTTGGTTATGGGTTGCTGGGGCTGAGCTGTACATACGCACCTGTCCGTCCGTGATCTTTCCGGCTCCGTTTCCTTGTCTCTGTATGAACAGTGTGTATCTGATTGTGTGAGATGGAGCGTAAATTTACATGGCTTTCATTTCCTTGTCTCTGCGTAGAAACAAACTGAATGTTCATCCTGCTTGTTTGGTGTGCTCACTAATTCTCACATTCTGTCCCGTGTTCCATCTCTTTTCTGTGTAATGATCTTTAACCACCCCCCCCCTCCATCCCGTCTTAATCTGACCTGGTATAATTTTCCCATTTAATCATATTTTTTTAACTATTTATATATCTACCACTCCACTCCTAATGGCAATAAATGCTTGAAACAATACCCCTCCGTGCCCCCACCCATGACATCCCCTACTCCTTACCAATCCTCTCCACCATTTTAACCCTATTACCTACCACACCTGTCACCCGGACCCCTGCCCAAACCACCTCCCCGCCCACTCCCCATCCAGACCTGCGTATGAAATCCATGGGGATTATAACCCCCCCCAGCGGGTTGGCCGCCAGCCGGATAGCCAGCCACTACAACAGCTTTCCAGGTACTGTGAGGAACCCCCCCCCCCTCACACACACACATACCACACTGCCCCTCATCCACCATGACATCACCTGCCACCTACTGTGCCCCGTCAAACCGCTGCACTTCATCCTGCTTCAGTGTGGTGGCGGTATTGGACCATGGGTAGAATTTGGAGGCACGGGGCAGGCTGTTTCTTTGTGTGCGTGTGTGCGTGTTTATGGGAACAGTACCCGACTGCAAGACCGAAATCTCAGCCACGTTTGTTTTGGCTGGCAGACTACAGATGGCGGTGCTTCTTGCGCGCGAGTTGACAGGGCAGCCTGACCAGCATGATGCTCTGCATCCACAGGATCCACCATGCACCACAGCAGCACCAGTTCGTCGGCAATGGCTGAGGAGGCCACCAGGGGCGTCGCTGTGGAGAAGTTTGACATTATGAAGAAGTGGGGCCTCAACACCTACAAGGTACCACCGAGAAAACAACCCCCTGCTCCGCTTGTATCTTTAGATAAAATTGGTCTTGTGTGCTTAATTGATTTGATATCTCAGGACTGTGTCATTTTTCAGCCCAAAAAAAACACAGCTGGCACTTTTCAGGATTAAAGTAGATTCACATCCTGTTCCTGCACCTACCAATATCTCCTTCCTTCTTGGGACTAAAGTAGATTCACTTCCTGTTCCTGCATCTACCCATATCTCCTTCCTTCTTGGGACTAAAGTAGATTCACTTCCTGTTCCTGCATCTACCCATATCTCCTTCCTTCTTGGGACTAAAGTAGATTCACTTCCTGTTCCTGCATCTACCCATATCTCCTTCCTTCTTGGGACTAAAGTAGATTCACATCCTGTTCCTGCTCCTACCCATATCTCCTTCCTTCTTGGGACCAAAGTAGATTCACTTCCTATTCCAGCACCTGCCCTTATCTCCTTCCTTCTTGGTTGCCACTGGTGTTGGGGAAAAAATAACATTTTGATAGCATTAAACCCACCATAGTTATTCTTTGCTGTCAATCATTGGTGTAACCCAATGAGAAGTGATCAAGTAGCCAATGAGAAATGGCTCAAACTAGTGGGTGATTGACAGCCTATAATAATCACTCACTCCCACTATGGGTCTCACAGTGTGAATTCTTCCACCAGTCACACATCACTCCTAACTCCTCTTCATTCTCCATCATGGAGCTTCTGAATGCCATTACTACACAAAGCTTTTCTCTGCCTCTCATCCACTCACATCCTTTGTTTCCCTATAATTCAAACCCTGTTCCCACCCCCGTTTCCCTTCTCTGGCTCTCCTGTGTCCAGACTCTCTCTCCTTCTTATCTCTCTTTTTATATATATATTTTTTACATTTACATTACACTGTCGACAGTGTATTCCCTGGACGCCCCCCTCCCCCATTTGAATCCCTGCTCCTCCAACACCCCCAACCTATACAGTCTTAGGCCTCCTATACTCTCTCTTCACCTCCCCCTTAACAAAAATCTTTATTAAAAGTCCAACTTCGTGTGACTCGTCTCAACATAATCAGATTCACCAGAACTGCATCTGTATATGTCCTTTCATGTGCTACCGCTATTTAGTGCTGCTTCAATTTTGGTTCGATTTGTCTCAAAATTGTACGCGTTCTAGAGCTTCACCCATACAATGTGTGTGAAGTTGGAAATAGATCTGTCAAATACTTTTTAAGTTATTATGCTAACAAACTGTCTGTGGTGGCAGTGGACTTGTCCCAAAGCTATATGTATTCTCCTATTGGGGAACATAAATTAATATGTTACAACCTCAGTGTAAACCTAGTCTGCCTGACCTGTGAATGTCAGATTATTTGAGTCCGCCTCGGATGGATAAAATCGGTCCCCCTCACTTGCAGTGCACCAAGCAGATGATCTCGGAGCGCTTTGGCCGGGGCTCCAGGACGGTGGACCTGGAGCTGGAGGCACAGATCGACGTGCTGCGGGACACCAAGCGCAAGTATGAGAACGTGCTGCGGCTGGCGCGGGCGCTCACCAACCACTTCTACAGCATGGTGCAGACGCAGCACGCGCTGGGCGACACCTTCGCCGACCTCAGCCAGAAGTCGCCGGAGCTCCGGGTAACTCTCACACGCCTCGTTTATGTATGGATTCATTTATTTTATAGCCTCAGTCATATAAAACTCATATAACAGTCAGTATAGATGTAAGATACGTATAATTCATCTACATCTACAAACTTAAGAACCTGCATCTATGCTGTAAATGGACACCCATTAATTATCAAATGGAAGCAGTTACATTTTTTTTCATTTGCACTCGACCAGCATCCCCTACAACAGGGTTATTCAACTCCCGGTCCTTGAGGTCCGAGCACTGCTGGTTTTCCAGCCTTCCTTTACTTGTCAGTCAGTTGTGAAGACTCTGACCAATCAGAATCAGTAATTATTAAACTAACTACCTGGGGGAACTGAAAACAAGGCCTGGATTTGGAATCAAGGTCCGGATTTGAAGAATCCTGCCCTACAATATCATCCTGATAACTCTGAAGCTCAGCAGTCTAAATAAAGGCCGAAATAGTCCATCCATCCATCCATCCATCCATCCATCCATCCATTGTCCAACCCGCTTATCCTACTGGGTCGCGGGGGGTCCGGAGCCTATCCCGGAAGCAACGGGCACGAGGCAGGGAACAACCCTGGATGGGGGGCCAGCCCATCGCAGGCCGAAATAGTCAATGAAAGCTGATGTGATACCTGTGTGTGTGTTCGTGTTTGTGTAGGATGAGTTTGGTTACAATGCAGAGACTCAGAAGCTGCTGTGCAAGAACGGCGAGACACTGCTGGGCGCCATTAACTTCTTCGTATCCAGCATCAACACGCTGGTCAACAAGACCATGGAGGACACACTCATGACCATCAAGATGTACGAGAATGCAAGGTAACCACCGGCCCTGGGCAACGGCAGAAATGAACTGGAGCAAAGGGCAAAAATGACCACCAAGATTTTGAGAGAGAATTATTCATTCATTCATTCTATTTGCCAGTTTAGGCCAGCATCCTAATCCTAAACCATCAGTTTTTGTTATTCATTTTGTTTTATTTTCATTTCTGTCTCTAACACACACTCATAAACAGCAACGTACGTACATAACATGTGTCTGTCTCACACACATACAGATGATATTCTATACACATGATTACACGCTTCTCATTTTTCTGTACTTGTTCTGGCAAGATGCTTTTATTACTGTATGTGTTATAATCTGGGCTCATTTCACATTAAAAACAAAGTTTATGCCTTATTTACTATTTTAAAAAAAGTTCCTCCAAAATTTTGTAAGTGCCCCTATTTTTGACTGGTGACAAAAGTTGTCCCACAGATAATTTTTTTAATTGCCTATACTGACCCTAGGCCTTCCTCCTTTAGTAAATAAGGTCAAGCGCCTTTACCCCTGGGGCACAAGGGGGTCGAGGGTATTCACTCACCAGTGGCGATCCTGGGGTGGGAATTGGGGTGACTCCCCCCACACACCCCCGTAGCCACACCCCTACTACCCACAGGGAACAATGTATCAGTAAGCCATTTGGGATTAGTATATAATAGTATATAATTCACCTACTAGGTGGGTGTGTATGTGTGGGTTGTCAGTTTTATTACAACAGAACGCTTGAACTCCCTGATGGGTCGGGTGTCTCGGTTCGTTAGTGGAGATCTTCTCTGATATAGTGTCATGTCTGATATGGACCCCGTGCCCTGAGGGGGTTCTGCTGCATGTTGCTGTGCCGCACATCCATGGGTACAGGTTCTGCTGCTGCCCTCTAGTCTGACCTTCTTGGGTTCCAGCACTGAGAGATCAGGCTTTGCATCGGGTCATATTATCTCCCAAACCGCCAAACAGCAAACGGCAATCTTATCTGGAAGCTGGGGAAATGCGACAAGTCCGAGACAAGGGACTATAAATAAATGACAAAGAGCAAATATCTTCATACAGTGGGAATGGGCAAATTTTTCTTTAAATGATTATTATTCTAGAACAGAACAGAGCATTGCAGTCTTTGTAGATTTATCTGAATCACTAACTGTACCAGTGCGGATAGAACAGGCTAATTTAGTTCAGCCAGAATATGCGGCTCATTAAAGCGGTTTGGTGGGAGGAAAGGCCTTGCGTATCCCAGCGCGCCAGACCTGGGCTATCGGACAGAGCCAACGGTGTTGGTTTCGGTATCGAGTGGGTGGGTCATCTGTCTGTCACCAACTAGTCTCCTCCAGTTCCTGCTGGTGCCTTTTCTTGGTTCCTGTTGGGTTAAACCAAAGACTGATGGACGTAATCGTATCCCCTGTGGTTTTCAGGCCATGTCTCTGTTCCTTCAGTAGTCTAATGCACTATCAAGCTATGCAAGTACACAGAAAAACTGTGATAGTAATGGTTTTTATATCCACCGTATTGCCGATCTACTGTAAAATATTAGGTAGATTTATATAGTAAGCCATAACCCATAAATTCTAGAGTTCACAATGTGCCCCCCTGCCCCCCTCCAGGCTGGAGTTTGATGCCTACCGCGCGGATCTGGAGGAGCTGAACCTGGGTCCTCGGGACGCAGTCACCCTGGCCCGCATCGAGACGGCACAAAACGAGTACCAGGACCACAAGGACAAGTACGAGAGACTGCGCAGTGACGTCTCGGTCAAGCTTAAGTTCCTGGAAGAAAACAAGGTAAGGGGGGCAAGGGGGGCTGCACTGTATTCTTACCCTCCCCCCGCCTAAAAACAGCATGCTCCTCATCTATGGCCATGGTCAGTGCCTTTCTTAGCTGGAAGGCAGTGTGCAGCTGCTCCTCCAGTTCCGCTCCCTATGGCCATGGCCAGTGCCTTTCTTAGCTGGAAGGCAGTGTGCAGCTGCTCCTCCAGTCCCGCTCCCTATGGCCATGGCCAGTGCCTTTCTTAGCTGGAAGGCAGTGTGCAGCTGCTCCTCCAGTTCCGCTCCCTATGGCCATGGTCAGTAACTAAAATTCTGAGTACAGGCAGTCAGAGAGGTTAAGAAGGTCTGACTTACGGACAGACTGCCGTAAAGCCTGTTATATTGAAAATTTGGGTTAAATACAATGCTTCATAATAACGAAAGCGCTGACTACTTTGTGATGCTCGTGAAAACATTGCGTGTCTTCAGCAGGTACAGTACAGGATGTAGTTACTTTTATTTTTACTGCATAATTATTGTTACGAATGTAATTTATGTCATATTATTACATTGTATTATGTACGATATATTTTTCCGACATATCTATAAATCGGACTTAGGGAACGGATCTGGTTTGTAACCGGGCCTGCCTGGGTCGGATGATCTCACAAGCTGTGTCTTCTGCACACTTGTTGACTTTGGGGTGTGAAGTTATTTGCACGTATTACGCAATCAGATGTCGCTTTTGAAGTAGACGGCCACATCTTCACGTGCGTCTGACCCTTGGCCGGACGCGGCTTGCCCCTTCCCGCAGGTGAAGGTGATGCACAAACAGCTGCTCCTCTTCCACAACGCCATCTCCGCCTACTTCGCCGGCAACCAGCAGCAGCTGGAGCAGACGCTCAAGCAGTTCAACATCAAGCTGAAGCCTCCAGGGTCGGACAAGCCGTCTTGGCTGGAGGAGCAGTGAAGGTCCCAGCATCGCCAACCGCCATCCCAAATCCTGGAACCACCACCACCTCCACCACCCACTTCTGTTCCCGGTCTCCACCCTTTTGCTCTGCAGCAGACCACGCAGGCAGACGGGATATGCGCAGGCCAAGATGGACGCCGGTAGGAGAGCCAACGGCAGTCAGACCTTGAGAGACCAGCACTCCTAAATAAAAAATGGGGGTTCATTATTGCATTTCTCCTTTTTTTTTACCTATTTGTCACTCTTCCTTCCCTTTCCTGTCTGATCTATCTTGCTGAAAGTTCTAGGCACGTAGGAACACCAATTGTCATCTTTTCTGTTGCCCCTCAATTTTATAAAGCTGTTCTCAATATTTTCAAGTGAAGGATTAGAAACATAAAAACACAGAAGACCCCCTCCCGCCAACACAGGCAATACAGTGCCCGGTGACCCAGGACTGCAGATCCAGAACTCTGACCTTCACCGAGAGAAGCTGTACTGTTTACCGCAGCTGTGACTTATCTATGAAATGTTTCGTCACGTTGACTGAGCTGATGTCAGCATATGTGTGCAAATAAGTTCCTTGGGGGGGGAAAAATGAATGAAGACTTCAAGCGCTGATATCAGGCCATGACTGAAGATAGCGGTTATGATAAAGGAGCTCAGGACCTGACAATCGGAAGCTGAGACCTTGGGAAACAGAGCGAGTGCGTGAGAGTTGCCATTTCAACGAATAACTGATTCTCCTATTTCTGAATCTGGTTGTTCTGTTTTACTCAAATGCAAATGATCTATATTGATGCCTTTTTTTTTTGTTTATGAATGCGAACCATTCTCTGCCAGGGCGTAATTACCAGTGTGTGTTGCCGGATTAAAATCCTTCCCATCCTAAGCACCAGCAGTTTTTTTTCCTTCTCCCTCTTTCAGTTTTGGCATGCTTGCAATTGTAACGGCTTTGACCAATCAGACGTGAGCTCAGTGCTGGCACTAATTATCTGGTTGTCTTGCACTGAAATGGGCCCATAGACCTCCCCGCCTTCTTAAAACCAATTAGTGGGTTTCGTATACTGCCTGAGCTTCATCTGAAAAGGCGTATCAGAGTTGCAGTCATCGTGGTTACAGTTGTCATTTTACAGTTAACGTCCTGGGCTCAGTGTGTGTGTGTGTGCGTGCGCGTGTGCATGTGCGTGCGTATTTGTGTTGTGTTCCTTTGTGTTTTTGTCCTAACATTCCCCCGTTTATTTTAAAAAATATATATCAATTAAGCGATTGTAAGAACACTAAATTTGGGATGTTTACAGAATCATATCCCATTATGTAACTTAATCACAAATGGATTCTCTCTCTTGTTTTCTCTCCTTTTTCCCTCACTCTGTTCTGTTTGTTGTCGTTGTATTTTCTCCAAAGTGGTTAAACGGAGGGAAACGGGGCAATCTTTACATATCCACGCCGTGATGTGCTTTTGTGATGGACAAACAAACATAAGGCCAGTGTCCTCACTGTCACACTGAGGCAGACGCATAAATCAGATATTGCACTAAATCAGCTGCATGTGTAACCCCTAACCCCAACCCAAAAAGCCACCCACTCCCATTTCCAAAAAGGATTCATCCGGAAAGTAGTAAGCAAACTTGTGGTTTCGGTAATGGATGAAAAACATACAAATAATCACAGAATGGTTTAACAAAGTGTGATAGACTAAGTCACTCCTTAAGTAGTATTAGTTATTAGGGGAAATGACAGAGTTTATGTATTTTATCATTTGCGTACAATCTATTTTTTAGGCTGCTTTGTGATATTGTAGTGAATGAATGACTGTATATATGTAATGATATTTAAGATGAAAAATTAAACCGATGTCTTGGGATCATGTGGATATCTGCTATTACTCGTCACTCGAATCTTAACCCTCCTGGAAGTAGTTGTATGACTAGAACATGCAACAAAATTAAAACAAGAATGTTTTCAAAAACCTGTGTCTAACTTTAGTATCTTCTGTAATATTATTGTTTTCACAGGAGGCTTGTGCTTGTGTAATGCATTTGATCTTGTGGATTTCTCTACATGCAGGATCTCAAACTGTTTCAGAAGGACGTTATGTTCCTGGAAATATTTATGATGCCTTTCCATCACAGTTTTTGCATACGGTTTTCTTGGTGCAGTGGTTCACCATCGCCTACTTCCACACAGTCTGAAAAAGCATCTTTGCTGGTATCACCACTGTGATTATCTGCCACCGGTATAGTCCTGTACTGCTTCTGCCAATTACAGACATGGTAGGTTTTGTCCAGCAACTGTGTTGAGACCTTTTTGCAACGGGTAACCCTTAAAAAAATCAAGAACTCCAGGCAAGAATTTTCCTTTTACCGATACAGCGCCAGACCAGGATGAAGCCTGCATCGTTGGGTGCAGAAGTAACCTAGAACCAGAGCAATACCGATGTTTACCACGTGAGGGGGCATCGACGCGTTACCTTTATCACTAATTTAGCCACGTAGCCTATTTTACAGACGATAATAATAAAAAGCTGGTAATAGATTGCTAGATTTATAAAGTTTACAGTTTTACAGTGATATGAATACAACAAAAACATTCATTTAGAAATACATTTAAACAAAGTGATGTAATATTGACTGCTCCATATGTTTGTGTTTATCGTATTTAACTCCAATATTTTTAAATAAATTGATTCCATAAAAAAAAGTGGCAACACCTTATTTGACGGCACAAATACTCAGTTGCTACTGAAGTACGAATTATGAACAAATCATGAACAAATATAGTCTACTTGAGATAAAGGATGCGTCGATCACGATTCATTAATGAACAAACGTGAGATCAGTATTTTACTTGCGTTATTCATTAGTTGGTCCTTCAATAGTTTACAAAGGTTTACAGAATTAGCAGATATAGTAACAAATATAGTAACTGCTTGGGATGAAACATGCATCATTATTCATTTATGATGAACAAACATATCAGTAGGTATGTAACAAAGTCTGTAGTTAATTAATACATAAGTCCCCGTTAAGTAATGTATTACCAAAAACAACATTACACTGATTGACTAGTAAGGATTACTAAAAACTGCAGCCTGTAGGAAACATGTATTACTTTTTGGATGGACAGGGGCCTATAGGCGCACGTTGGGCTGGGGAGGCGAAGGGCCCCCGAATCACACAGGGATATTTACAAAGCAGCAGCGGCCCCCGACGCGCCAATATTATAATCAGGCCCTAGTCCAACACGCGGTGGTCCAGAGTAAAGGTCTCACTTCTTCAGTAAGGACCTTGCGCGGCTCTGCACAGACCTTTGTATTTAAATTATTAAGCTGTGCCTTGTGAAATAAATGTAACTTTTGATATTACTGGAGGTAGATTATTTGTTACAAGCGTAACTTTACGGATCTACAAATAGTTCTGTAATTACGCTTTAAAGATACATAGACTGATCAATCGGACGTGGCTATTGTTTGTTGATGAGCCAAACTAATCCAATTAGCAGCCTAACTGAACCCACTAACACCTTCCTTTCAAACACATTTGATGGTATCAGTGCTTCTTTCGTTCTTTGAAAACGCCGATGCAGACCGGGAGTGTCTGCAAATGCAGGGCTGCCAACTCTCACGTAAATGCAGGAAATCACACGGCAATCTATATTATCCCATTATATACATCGTAAGCTTTGCAAACCCTACAGACTATTTACAGGGCAGTAAAACTGCTGCCTACATGTAAATGCGTGTACATGTGTCTGTAGACTTGTTTCAAACTGAGTAGGCTATCTCACTCCAGCCAGGTGACCAAAGTTGGCAACCCTGCAAATAAGCCAGCTCAATCTATAAAGCAGCACACGAACGATGATGCCAGTAAAATAATAGGCTACAAGTGCAACTAATTGCAAACAAAATATAAAAAGCATTGGCATTGTGATCTAATACAATCTGGCATTGTGATCTAATAGATACCACCGAAATATCCTTTTTGCGTCTCATTGATATTCATAGGTACTCGTAGGTATTCATAGGTTCCATGTTATTTCGAGGCAGGGGCCGCGGTTTCGTCCTGCTCATTGTCTATGCGCTCCGGGAGCCGAAGGAGTTAATTGCGGATGCGGGACGGAGCGGGACCATCGATTGTGGGCGGCGCTGGCGGCGGCGTAAAGGAGGGCGGCTTCGGGCGGCCGGTGGTCGCGCTGCTGGGGAACGAGGGTGGACTGTGTTAATGCCAAGGGGAAGCCGCTACCTGGTGAGTGTTTCCCATCATTTAAAGCTCCCTAATCGGCTTTTTTAAATTGATGCATTTTTTAAAGTCCCTCCCAGACTGTTAAGAGGTTGTCCGCGGCCGTCAATTAGCCGTTTTTCTGTTTATTACATCAATTCCCTCTTAACGCTCCTCTTTTTCTGTGCTGGCCTTGTTTTCCGACTTTGTTCTTTTTGCGTTGTCTAGTTTGTTTGTATTGAATGTTAATAATACGTTTATATAAACATTGTGAAATTAAATAACAAAAAGTAGGAGCGGGATGGTCAACTGTTACTCCAAATAGACTTTAAGGGAGGAATCGGGACAAATTTGGATGAAAATGATGATAAATAAATGCCTGTTTCTTTCAAAGCGTAGTTTGGCGGCTGGATAATGCCGGTTCCAGTGCCATGCTAAAGCAGACGGGTGTTAATGAAACTCCAAATGAATACAAATGGATCTGAATTGCCGAGCATTTTTAGCCGAAAGTAACTTGGTGTTTGTTTTGTGGCGTTTGAGTTCCTGTACCGCAGCTTCCGTGCACCTGTAACTGTTACCCGTTTTCGGAAACTTTCTGAAATATGTTTTTTAAATGTCGGATCTTATAGTGAAACTGCTGCCGTTATCATTAAGATGGTCCTCTGTTGCTTGTGATGCACATGCAAAACTGGGCAGTTTGCGGCGGCTGCCGGACGCCTTGGATTCGCGTTGTCGTTTCCACGAATCGGATAACCGGAGCAGCGTAACTGCGGGCATGTTGGCGAGTTTCACTCCGCGTAGCCCGTCCGCGATATAACACCTCAGGTGTGTTTGACGCAAAATGTTTACTGGTGCAGGACCAAAGCAAAGGAATATGTGCAAATTATATTTAACGGGAAAAAAAATAATTCCTTATAATTATTGTAATTTGGAAACGTTTCTGTGTCTTTGTTACAGTCACATCTGGAAGAAGAGAGAGGACGGGAGGACTCTGCTGTCAGTCACAATTACCCTTGACACTTAAAGTTGATTTTGGATTTGCTTTCTGAAGGGTGACTGAGTTGGCAGCTTGCTGCCTCTGTCCCCCCCCAAACCCCCCAGCCACCCGCACATCTCTGATGGATGGTGATGTTGCCATGCTCGTCGGCCAGCCTCCGTCTCCTCTCCCTTCTAAGCCCTCACCAGGTGAGGTGGCATCCTTGACCATGGGCGCACCTCCTCCCCCTCCTCCGCCGCCCCCTCTTCCGCCTCCCCCACCTGGTCCGACCGATGCCGTCGGCGTGCGAGGTGGCCATTTCAGCCGGGCTGCCCACCGCCAGTCCAAGATGCGCAACTTCAACTGGGATACGTTACCGTGGCAACGCGTACTGGGCAAGCGCAACGTGTGGACGGCCTCGCGGGCACGTGAGGATTTCCCGCTGGACACAAAGTACATGGAGGAGCTCTTCAGCCGCTGTGAAGCTGCCCGGCCCATCAGTGACTGCAAGGGCACAAGTGTTACCATGACAACAGAGATGGTGCGTGCAAGCCCCGCCCCCTGTCCCTACTGCCCATAATGCTTCAGGTTGATTGATCATTGATACCCCACATATTGCCTAGTTAATTGGAATGCAGTTTGCTTGATGTAGTTTCTTGATTTATGTGTGGAGGGTTCTGGAGGGGGAGGGATAAGAAGATACTATTTTCACTGTAAATGAACTTTAGGGCAAAGTTCAGCATCAGCAGTGTTGAGGAGCAGCATGACATGGTGTGCGAATACTTAGAATCATGGAAACGGTGCTAGTTTGCGGTCAGATGGAAAGTACTATAATCGTATTGCATTACAAAAGATGCAAACAGTAACCCCCACTTCCTGAAAGGAACCACCAGGCCACAGAATTGCAGAAGGGGATTGTGGTTTAGGACTAGGGTTGCAGACAGGTGGTACATTTCTGGAAACTTTCCATTCCATGGGAAGTTAAGCTGGGGATTTTGGAAGTTGGAAACTTTCCTTGGGAATTATGGGGAATATATGATGATTAATGGAAAATTCCCAGAATTTTGCAGCCATATTTAGGACATACCTTTGTGTCTGTGTGCCTATATATAGGACAGGATATCAGATGTAAATATGCCCATATGCAAAACTGGCAGCCAATAGCAATACATTCTATGCAACAATAATGTTCTTATCTTGCTACGAGATAAAATGGTAAAATTTCCAGGATCATTTGGTGCCTTATTAATGGCTGTTGCTGATGATGGCTGATGTATGTACATCAGGGGTGTCCAATCTTATCCGCAAAGGGCCGGTGTGTACGCAGGTTTTTGGGATAACCTGCAGGTCAGCTGTTCAAACCCAGGTGTGAGGACTCTTCAGCCAATCAGTCCTCTAATTAGTAATCTAATTAGGGAGTTGCAGCGAAAACCCGCATACATACCGGCCCTTTGCAGATAAGATTGGACACCCTTGATGTACATGGTCATTTCTGCATCCATTTTTCTTGCCCTGTGAAATTTAAGACAACCAACATCCAGAACGCCAAATGTGACATTGGCAGCTGAACTTGCCTCATTTGGGGCGCACTAATTTACATAATGACAGATGGATGTATTTCTGAAAAGGGCAGGTTGATGAGGTCCTGATACTGTACATCCTCCAACCCCCCCCCCCCCCCCCCCACCTGAGAAGGTGGACATGAGCAGTGACAGAGGAAAGAAACGAAACTTCATAACACATAACCTGTGATATTACAATAAGCCAGGGCTCTTCGAATCTGCACCTCCATTCCAAATCCAGGCCTTGTTTTCAGTTGGTTTAATAATTACTGATTCTGATTGGCCACAGAGGCTTCACACCTGACTCACGGGTAAAGGAGGGCTGGGAAATCAGCAGGGCTCGGTCGTAGCGGACTGTGATTTGAATAGCTCTGTAATAAACTGTTTTGCTGATTAGTTGAACCAGGGAAACATTGAGTGTGGCAGTGCCAAGCTGGTATGGGTCTCTGTCTCCTCTCTTCCATTGCTCCTAGTCTGCCCTCGTTCAAAATATGATGCTCTTTGATCATGACAACATTAATTGTGTTCTGAGCAAACTGTTCAGCAAGTATATGCTTTTTAATGAGAGCTACTTCTGATTTGGCTGGAATTCTGTGTCCTGTTTCCGTGGTTGCAGGAGGGGCACTATTGTGTAGTGGTGAATTTTGTTTGGGTTCTGTTTGTAGAAGGAACCGCTTGGTTTGTTGGACTCCTGAAATAATCGTTGTAATTTTAGAAGGAAATGTGCTTCTTGCATGAATAACCGTATTATGTCAGTTTTCAGGCCTAGATAATGTGGCTTTCTTTCTTATTCACTGTTAAATTGCTTTAATGTACTTCTGGTGAAATAGAGGAATTTAACAGCCACGTTCCTTCTTACAGATTTCCATCCTAAATTCCAAGAAGTGCATGAACATTGGCATCTTTCTGAAACAGTTCAAAAGGTGAGCACCTATGAGTAAATACTGCTGGCAGTGACTGGAAAGGGACCAGATCCTGACACTGTTTATGCACTGAGAGAACATCACTGAGTATCCATGAGTCAGTGATGTATACAGGGGCAGGGCCACTGGCTTCAGCTGAAAGCTGATTGGCTACCAGCGTGCCCCTCCCTGTCAGTGGCGAACTCAAAACATTTCATTGGCTGATAAGGCTGGCGCCTCTGTATGAATTATGCCCCCTCTTATGCCCTCCCCACCTTAAAATATCCTAGCTTTGCCCCTGCTCTGAGTGCTTTTGTTATTGGGTTTTCACTGTGAATAATGTACAGTTAGTTTGTTTTACAGAGGTATAGACTCTGAATTTTAGCCCCAAATGGGACATGGATTTAACCACCTAGAAAAGAAAACTGTTTTTAGGGATTTTTATAAAACAATTGGTCTGTGCTGGCCAGCTTCTGTGGAATTATTTTGAGATGTCTCCTTGCCTTGTGCAGCTGGACCCCAGGGCACTGTTAAAGGAAATCTATTTGCTTTCTGTGACCTTTGTAGGCCAGTAATGGAATTGATCGGAGACATCCGACAAGGCAACTGGAAGGCTTTTGGGACGGGCAAGTTGAGAGAGTTGTGCAAGCTTCTGCCTGAGCTGGAGGAGGTGAGCCGACACTCTTATCTTCAAACATGGGACAATGAGCGCTACTTTCATCATTGAGGGAGCCCCGTCTGCTGCCACATGACCTTGAAATAGATACCGACTTCACCGTTATGCAGAGAAGTGGCAGCTGCAGTCTGGTTATATAAACAGTGCGTCTGACATGGTTATGTCCTGTTTGCCTTCAGGTGAAGATGCTGAGTGCGTTTAACGGAGACTGCTGCCAGCTGACCGAGGCGGATCACTTCATGGTTAAGCTGGTTAAGGTGCCTGGGTAAGTACTTGTTACCTTGTTACCTTTTTGGTCATCGCCGTTATCCAAGAACGCCTCTATCTTCTCAGGGCCCCTAGGTAAAGCCCTACTTTTGAGCCCCCTCCCCATTAAGAACAGTGATGATCATTTCACTACCCATGCAACGGAGGTAGTTCGGGGTCTCTAAGCTACTACCTGTTCTGTCCATGGCTAAACTATGTGTGGTTCTGTGATGTGCTGTAGGAACCTCCTAAACAGATCCTTCCCTATCCCATGATTCCTTGCAGCTACGAGGAGCGGCTCCACAGCATGGTCCTCAAGGAGGAGTTCTCTCCGATGATGGAGGAGATAAAGGAGGCCATCACCGTCATGACGACGGCTGCCAACGGTAAGGCACGATAAGAGGCGATCATGCTCGTACCGAACGGTGACGTCGGCGTCCCCAGCCGCCGGGGTGCCCCCCCCGTATCCGTATCCATACCTCTGACCCGTTTTTACACAAGGCTGCCTTCTTGCCGGGGTTGGGGGGGGGTGCACTGCGTTGCTGACCGCTGCGTCTTCTCTCCAGAGCTGCTGAACTGTGACGACCTGCACTCGGTCATCCGGCTGGTACTGAAAGCCGGCAACTACATGAACGCTGTAAGTTTAAACGCCGGTGAGGTGTCAGCTTCCACTGTGGCCAGTCAGGTGCATGGCTTAGCCGACTGTTTGAGTGGGACTTGACACCTGCCTTGATGTACGTTCTTTCGTTAGGGTCTACGATGCACAAATGTGAAGCTCCAGCAGTCTAGCCTTGTGTATTGGTTTGTCAGAAGCCTTTTAATGATCATGATGGTTGATTGCTGTCCGCCCCCCCCCCACCAACCCCCCACCACCAGGGCGGCTATGCTGGCAGTGCTATTGGCTTCCGGATGTCCTCCCTGCTGAAGCTGGTAGACACAAAGGCCAACAAGCCAGGCATGAACCTCATGCACTACGTGGCCATGGTAAGGACTGGGGACCTATCAGTCACAAAGGGCTATACATGGTCTCCATGCCACGTTCTTATGGGTCATGAGAACTAACTAGGACTGTCTAACTAGGACTGGGGACCTATCAGTCACAAAGGGCTATACGTGGTCTCCATGCCACGTTCTTATGGGTCATGAGAACTAACTAGGACTGTCTAACTAGGACTGGGGACCTATCAGTCACAAAGGGCTATACGTGGTCTCCATGCCACGTTCTTATGGGTCATGAGAACACACGTGTGAATTTTTCCAATAAAAAAGCACAATACATTCTTGTCTTGTTGTTTAATCCCTCTATCTTTTTTTAATTTATTTTTAAATTTGGTGTAGAGCAGTTGACGTCACCTTTTTATAGTAAAATTATTTGCTGCTCTGTTTGATGGTTTTTTCCATTACATTTTTTTTAAACCATTTCCCATGACAGATTTAAGATCAATAACACAAAACTAGATTTATTTTTTTTAAATATTTAAACTTTATTTCATATAACCCAAAATATATATTTTTACTTTATTATTATTATTATTTTTTTTTTTTACTTGATTGTACAATTTGATTCTCCAAACTCATTGAAGTCATTATGTAACCTTAATGCTTTGTGAGAATGACCCTCTTGTCCTCTGTCCTTTTCCCTCATTCTCAGCAAGCACAGGAGATAGACGCTGCCTTGCTGAAGTTCCCTGAGCAGCTTCCACACATCAGAGCCGCAGCCAGGTGCGAGACTTCCTGAAACTATGAAGGGCTTCGGTATGTCTCTGGGCGGGACTGGTGTGGATGCACTGACTAACGTGGATGCTGCATGCGACTTCCCTGCACAGAATCAATAAGCAGGAAGTGGAGATGGACTTCCAGAGGCAGGTGGAGAACGTTCTGGAAGCGAGGGCGAACGCCAGCAAGCACCAGGAACTGCAAATGCAGATGGAGAGCTTTTTCATGGTGAGGGGGCATGCATCATGTGGACTTCCGTCACGACTTCATCGACTTCTGGTGTTTAGGGTATTGTGCAAATAGGCTTGCTTATAATAGGGGGGGCATCTTTCTCTATTGTGAGGCTGAGAATTTTAGGTGTGTGCGATTTGACGATATTAGACCGTGAACGATTAAAATGTCTTCACAGTCTGCCGTTGCGGAGACAGCGTTAGTATTGCGCTACAGTGCACATACTGTCAGTTTGCAGTTGTATGGCTCATACACGCATCTTACGCTGTAGGCAAATCCGTCTCGGTGGTGCTTCGGATTTCTTCCCCTCTCTCCCTTTCGCCCCCCCTCCTCCCAACATGCTGCACGTTCCCAATTTGGCAACATGGACCTCATGGTCCCTGCAGAGAATTTGACATCGGTAATATGTAACTTGTTTGGATTTTCCAAAACCGACACAGAGCAAACAGTCTTTTGCAAAATTTGCAAAGATAAGGTTTGCATGTCAGATGGCAGCACAAAGACCCTTTAACTACCTCATAAGAGACACTCAGAAGAGTATGTTGAGTGTGCCGAGTATGTTGAGTGTGCCGAGTATGTTGAGTGTGCCGAGTATGTTGAGTGTGCCGAGTATGTGTTTTTTTTTTTTTTTTTTTTTTACTGTATTGGGCAATATTTTTAAAATGGGGTATTAGCTTGGTTGTACTGTTAAGTAACTCACTCGCTTTGTGCCTTTTTATTTTCCAGTTTGATTTTTTTAGCCATGTACTTAATACTTTTTGTGAGACATACTTTTGGTTAAATGTCCAATTTGGGAATTTTTTGCACTTGAATAATTCAGCATTTCGCCTGCGAGTCAAGCAAATATGCAACAGCAGTCCAATGAAAATGTCGTCATGTCGTCGTCTTGACCGCGCCCCCCCTCATTTGCCTCCAGGAAGCGGAGTCCCAGGTGACTGCGGCAGAGTCGTCCTTCCAGGCCCTGAGCTCAGTCAGTCATGTGGTGGCAGAGTACTTCTGTGAAGACCCCAGCCTCTTCAAGCTGGATGAATGCTGCTTCATCTTCCACTCCTTTTGTGAGAAGTTCACGCGGGCTCTGCAGGTAAGGCTGTGCCCCGTTTGGCCAGCAGAGGGCACTGTTCTGCAAAAGGTTGCTAGTACTGGAAGAGCAAGGTCGCGCTCCATGGAACTAAACTTGCATGTTGCATTTTATCTAGTTTAAATGGAAGTCATTTGGTTAGGATCATGGTGGCTAAGTGAAGGAAGCTGACTATTGGATTCCCTTCCTTCCATGCAGGAGAACCACGAGCGTGAGGAAGTTGAGGAACGGAGGAGGCAGCAGGAAAGACAGCGCAGCGTTGCCAAGCGGCGTTCCACGGCCACCTGCTCCAGGACGGAGCGTGACATGGAAAGTGTGGCTCTGGAGAGTCTCCTGCACACCTACTTGACCAGCCACTGCGCTCGGCGGAAAGCGGGCCGGACTGATGAGCTCGGGAATGCAGGTAGCCCAGAACGAGGGGAACCACAGCTGAGCAGCTGGTCTTCCATGCAGGATTTGAGATCCAGCGTGCCCCGGGACGGGCCGCCCTCCATCAACGACACGCCGACCCCTAAAGCCCGCAAGTCGAGGAGCCAGGCTTCGCTCCCCAAGTGGAACAGTTGCAGCTCTCGGCTGGAGAAGCGTGGCCAGCTCTCGTTGGAGGAGGAAGATGAGGCGGACGCGGAAGTAGCAGAGGAGGTGCCGAGGACGCCGGAGGCCTCCGGGGAGGTGCTAGCGTACCGGATGCGTTGGGGCAGCCTGCTTCCTGGGGAGTCCCCCCTCCAAGTGTCATGGTCACCCGGCGGAGCAGCCACTTCGCCGGCCAGTCGCATTCCTCAGGACGAAGGCAGTCCCCGGACCATCCTGAGCCTGTCGCCCATGACGACTCCCAAGTCCACCCGCCGTCACACCATCTCCATGCCCCTCTCGGCATCTTGGTGCGAGCTGCACTCGGCACCCTCAACTCCCATCCAGGCCACGCCCCCTCCAACCGAAGCCACATCCCTGACGCGATCCACACCCTCTCCCCAGGACCTGGTGGCAAAAAGGAAATCTGTGGACAGCTTTCTGTCCTCCCCAATCGCAGGAGAGGCCTCCATACACACGGCGCTCTCGTTGTCCGGTGACCACGAGCCGGGGGGGGCTGCCCAGGACCTGGGGATTGCCTCCAGTCCCCAAGAAGACGGTGGGATCACTGAGCCTGTCCCCGGTTTCCGTCTGGGTCACCTGTTCCAGCGGCGGCAGAAGCCCATAGCAGCTAAGTCGGAGAGGCAGGACGGCTCTGCCTTTGTGTCCTTCTTCAAACGCCTCGGAGAGCGAGGTGGTCGCCACGGCGATGACGAGCTGGAGGTAATAGTCAGGGACTCCTGAGGAAACTGGTTACTTTGGGGGGGCTTTAGAATAATTTTTATTTATTCTTAAAGACTACAATTTTAAGTCTTTTCTTTTTCCTAAAACGCAAAGAATTGTTTCTTGTGACCTGGAACAGTTTTAATAAAAACTGAGGGCGGGGTTGCGCCCAGAGACGATGACGTCGTTCTGTCCATCTGTAGGTTGCTGACTTTATGGTTTCGTACCTTTACATCATACCTTTTATTTTCGTTTTTTACTGAACTTACCGTGCAAACAGAGGTGTTCCTTCCTGGATTCCTGGAACTGCCCAGCTCAAGTGCTCACCGGAACCATTCTGTTTGTGAACATTGTTAAAGAGGTATGATGTATTTTTATATGTACATAAAAATAAAGTGTGGAGTTTCCACCGTCTTCTGTCCTGATTCTCATTTCTCTCAGCCCGAGAGGGATGGATGCAAGAAAAAAAAACCTAAATGAGGATGAGGAGAGAATGATTTCTAAAATGACACTCCGTTTCAGCAGGACCCAAATTAAATGTGTGCATTATGACTCTTCTACATTCTTTTTCAATAACTTGGTTCTCTGAAACACTGATTCAAAACTGAATCCTTGGAGACCCCAGACAGTCTGCATTTTTGCTCCAACACAGTTGTGCTGGGAGCAGGGGAGGAAAAATGTGCACTGGCTCAGGCTTCCTGAGGACTGGGTTGAGGGGAAAAAAAATCCCAAAGACATTTGTTTCTGCTAGCTGATCATGGTAACAATTAACAGATAAAGATTTTTTTTGTTGTTTTGGGTGTTTCTCAACCCTGCATGTGTTCTTGATTAGCTGGGAGCTGAAAAATCTCAATAATCTGAGGGTCCCTGAGGACTGGCTTGGGAAACACTGTCAGATTATCGAACTTTTTTGCCCACAACACTCGCCATCCCAATTTTGCTGATTGGGGGGGGTGTAAGTTTTGGAATATCATGAAGAATGCAAAAATAATCTACACATAATTTAAAGTAAACTGATAAAACTTGCATTCTTAAAGCCTGAAATGTTAAGTATGAGTTTTTGAAAGAAAACAAGTAGACATGACTTTATTCCCCCCTCCCTCCCTTATGGTCCCCCCCCCCTTGCTCTGATGCATTGTGCGGTCGGATTACCCTGTGCCCAGGTACTTCACCTGCTGGGCGATAAGGAGTTAACCTGACCCTGGCCAATGTGAGGGTCCTGACAGGCCCCGTTTCATTCTCGCTCTCTGCCTCATCCATTATTTGCGATCCAAGGGCTATCAAAGCCGGTCTCTGTCTCCAGGGCTGCCGTCGAGAGCGGAGAAAAGATGGCGCTTTTCACCCGGTCGCCATGGAAGCAGTGTTTATTTACAGCCCTGATCTCATTCGGCCAGTGTGGCGGTGAAATAATACCCTCTGGAACAAACGGTAGAACGTAACCCAACCCCCCACCACTAAATCTAAAGGCCGTGGTGCTGTTCCTGGCAGAGGGTTAAGTCCCGCCCCCAGAAGGACTCCCTCACCAATCTGGAGTGACATCAGTATAGTTCAGGTGCTGCTCTCCAAATCCCCATCACATGCTATAAACATAGGTAGGTACACAGCCAGGCTCAGGATTCAGAGCTGCAGCCAGATTGAACACTTCTATTCGGGGGTGTCCCTCTTAACAAGGAAGCATCGCATCAGCAGTCAGACTGCTTCTTTTATTCATCAGTGCTAGTTAATGAACGGGGAACTGTGAGAAACTGGCAGGTTGTAGTTTGGTCCAGCACCTTCGGGGTTAACACCGCGGACCTCTGGTTACAATTACATGCTCAGGGGGAAAGACCTTGTTAGAGAGGGAAGGAGAGAAGGGCGAAAAGAGGAGGAACCGTATCTCTGATGGAGGGAGGGAAACAAAAATATGTGTTAGGGGGAGTGAGGAAGAGAGGGCGAGAGATGAGCTTCTAAAGGCAACTTGAGTGTCTTCAGGGTTTAAAAGACGACTGGGTTCCTACGGTGGGTGAAGGATCCCCATCATTCAGAAACACAGAGGTCTCCTTGGAATACTTCGGAGGTAAACTGGCAATGGAAGAAAAAGTAAAGGTTTCTTATGTAAATAGCCTAATTGCAGTGAATGGTAGATGACAGATGACAACAAAATGCACAGATGTAGAAGGATTTAAAAAAGCAATTTATATTCGTGGGGTTTAAAATGACAGACAGATAATGTGTTTGCGCTAGTTTACCCTTAACGTGTCATAATAGAAACAAATAAGAGAGAACAATGCATAGGTCACTTTCATTACCAGTTTTGGCAACTTTGGTCATCTGTCTTGCGTGAGATTTTCAATTCGAGTCTGGACACACATGCACATACCTTTACATGTATGTAACTGTTTTATTACCTTGAAAATAGTCTGTAGGGTTTGCAAACTACCCCAACGCTTTTGATGTAACTCATTTTAGATTTATAATGGAATAACATTGATTTGCCGTAGGATTTCATGCGTTGGCGTGAGTGGTACCCCAAACGCGTGTGAGCACTTTGCTCAGCCTGGTGAGTTCGGGGTTTATCGTGACAGTCCGGGTGTATAAAGACCGCGATCGGAGCCAGTATGATGTCGTATGTATGAGGTTTGTTGGAAAGACAGCAAGATACCTGCGAAAAACGCCGTTATGCGTTGCTTCAAACGGGCCAGATAATGATTTATAACAGCAGTAACTTTGTACGTTACAGTTGAATATTCTACTAGTCTATTCAATGTAGGCCTACTTTTTTTTTTTTTACCAGTATGAGTTCTTCGCAAACTTACTTTCAGGAAAGTTCAAACCACAGGTAGAGTCACTCAAAATCCCCCAGGACATCCCAGCTGAAGACAATATAGACCTTATGAACTTATTTTAAGCCAAACCGCACGCTGTACTGATGCTGCTAACTCAGGTGATCGGGGGTCTATTTCAATATCAGGGGTGTCAACCTGGTCAGCTGGCTTGGAGTGAGATTTTCTATGTGCACGCAATTACATGTATGTAAGTTATATTGTAAATGGTCTGTAGGGTGTGCAAACTACCCCAACACTTTTGGCGTAGGCTAACTAATTTTAGGTTTATAATGGAATATAATAGCGAGCGGGAGAGTCTGAAAACTAGTTGGTAATCCTGTAGCTGCCATTTGTAACCCAGACTCGCAGATCAATTTAGCTGCCAAAAACCAATTTGAATTCAGCAAATTCCCCGGGGGAGCAATACCTGGATTACACGGTTTCGTAGTTTTTAATATCCGTCCAAAGTAATTATTCGATTTCTCATTGCGAATGGGAGTTTCACGTGACGCAGTTTAGTCCGTTCCAGCAGTCAGAAGCTTTATTATTTTATTTAAATGGTATAGCAATAATCTACAAATTTAAACGACATACTGCTTTATAATTTTGTCTGTTCAAATTAATCAAGTTACGTACTCTAACATGTACGTAACCCTGCAGTGCAGCGTCTATTTACAAACCATTAAAAATAGTTTGGGACCAGCTGACAATTATAGCAGGGTTAAAATGAATTTTAAAAACGAAAGGAAAGGATGAGTTAAATATTTAAGGAAGCTTAAGCTCACTGTTGATAATCACTACCACATCTTTTCGCTAGATGGCGCGCCGTTAACAGGAAATAATGTTAATTAAATTCCTTGCACTAGAAATAAACCGAATTCACGCCCCGAACGTTTGATGTATGTTTTTCGAGGATCTTTGCATTTCCCTATTGAAGTTTTCAGGAATTCATACTACTCACATGCTCTGTCATGCTCTGTTACCCACTATCGGAGTCCGGTTAATATAACACACATGATCAATACAGTGATCAATAAAGGTCATTGATGAAAAAGTGTGCACACCTCTGCAAATATTAACTCTTGAAAAGATGGCTGATTGGAGTACGCCGTTCTAATCTATTTGGATGTAGATTTGACCTGCCATGCTCTGTGTAAAAACACAAAGACGAATATCGTTACCTGCCGTTTACAATAGAATTCTGTTCAAGTGCAGTATGGCTTGGTTGTGTTTTTTAAGTATGTGTGTGAGTGTGTGTGTCTGTGTGTGTGTGTGTGTGTGTGTGTGTGTTTAAAGAAAGGACAGTACCAGGGCCCGTGTCACAAAGCTGGATTTTTGGGTCAACAGGATAATTTGTAATTAAGGTCGTCTGGGCTAAATGTAAATGAACAGAGATAAGGTTCATTTACAATGTGGTCCCTTAAGTCTGGCAGGTTATCTGGGTAATATATATACTATTACAGACACACACGTCTAAATGCTGAAAAATTTTAAACCCGTTGTTTTGTTTAGGTGAGACCCAACTTCAAGCAAAGGATTCCTGCCTTTGAGTGAAACTCTAAAAACAGTCAAAATGATTTGGTAAGTGCCAGCGCCTTGCAGTTCCTGGGATGGCCTGTAGGGTTCCCATCAGCTTGTAATAGATGGGGTTTGAAGATCTCTCTGACTAAAAGCAAAATGCCTTTTTTATTTTTAACTTGTTAATCTTTTATTTAAAACTTTTTGTTTTGTTTACCACCCTGAAATAACAATAAACAGTCTGGGCATCAAACATTTTGGTGGTTAATGAACAGATCCGAGGAGTGATGGTGATCTTATATGATGCTGCAGTGCAAATATACAGAACTAGTGGTTAAACAACCGTATACTGTACATGTAAGAGCTGTGAAAGCTAGCTGAGGGCCTGACTTTCCTCGCTGCTTTGGTCACATGCTTATACTAAGAATCTAAATCATTTTACAAATGACTAAAATTATAACTGACTTGTGTGCCCTGCGATCTGTTGATACCCTGTCCTGTCCTGCATTGTTCCCTGCCTTGTGCCTGTAACCCCCGGGATAGACTTCAGACCCCTGTCACCCTGAATAGGACAAGTGGTTTCAGAGAACTGATGGATGGATAATTGACTTGTTTTAGAAATGCACCTTTTTATAAGCTTGCAGAAGAACTCGTGTGCTTCAGTGCCAGTATTTCCCTTAAAAGAGCCAAATATTCTTCAGCGCTCAACAAGCTGAAGTGTTGTCTTGAACAAAGATAAGGGAGATAGACCCAAATCCGGAGTGTTTATTGAATCTGTTTGTCAGGTTCCTCACACAGTAGTACCATTGAACTGGATTTATAAGAGTCACTGTGTCAGTGTCGAGTTCATGCACCGGCTCCATCTTAAAGTCAGGAGGAATCGTACCTCTTCAAAGTGTGACTTAAGTGGGCTTCTCAAGTTCCTTAACCAGGCATCACTCACTGATCATGACAATATGTAGTATTTCATGATAACATTTAGCAGAGGCCTTGGCTGTCACCACCATATACAGCCCTTGGAAAAATTTAGAGAATAAATCTGCATTTTTAAATCCTGGTTTAATCCTCTGCTGGCAGAAGGCAACACTGCGCTACAGGCTGCTTCCAGACTCAATGTTTGTAAGAAATAGGGTGAAGCAGGAGACACCTGAGGAACAACCAAAAACCAGCCAGGTTTAGGGCAGAAGTGACTTTCTAATAGCAAAAATGACCATTAACTTATCCGACAGTTTCTCATGAATCGTAGGATGACGTCAAGTGAGCAATGGGAAACATTAAGTGCAGGTGTGAAGTGTACAGCTAGGACAGTTCATATCAGGCTCCTAGAAGCAGGACTGAAGTCCCATAAAGCAAGGAAGAAGCCCTTCGTTATTGAGAAACAAGGCTGCAGTTTTCAAAAAATGTATATTTTATACAGATACACACACATAAATTGAGAAATGAGTGAAACTGAGAAATTTACTCTGGTCTCTTAGCTTTTTCCAGAGCTGTGTGTATTATCAAAAGGAGGAACTTCCCTGCCTTTGAGAAGGAGAACTGTGTAGCGTTATATAAAAGATGGGTCTTCACAGATCGTAGAGGCCAGTGGGGCAGTTGCTTTTCTCTGGCTGTTTTTAAGACTTAAGCCATGGGGGGGGGGGGTGAACCAGTTTGTCAGGTTTGCTGAATTAGAAGTGAAAGTACAGCTGCCCAGTAGCTGTGATAGATGCTGAGATTTTAATGACAGCGCTGTGAATGAAGGAGAGTATGCGGGGGGTGGGGGGGGGGGGGATCCTTTGTTATCTCAAAGTCTAGTAAAGTCCTCCTTCTGATAAAGTACGTGGCGATGGCAGCCGAGGTCTGTGCTAAAGGCTGATATCAAATACTAAACGCTGTCATGATCAGTCGGCGATGGACCTTCAGCCTGGTCAAGGAACCTGAAGAATGTACTTCGCTTTGAACGGGCATGCTGGGTAATGAATGCTCAGGTCCGAGGGACCTGAAGGTCATGGAGCACCGTGTCCTTGAGAGAGATGAAGAACCGTTGACATTGACCAGGTGGTGGAGCTGAGAAGGTGGGCGGCACGGATCAGACGGTCAGACGGGCTCTGCTGTCTCCATGACAACCTCATCCTCCTGCAAAATCTAGAGATGACGTCTCAGCCGCGCCTCTATCCCCCTTCATCTGCGTGATTATTTTTCTGACCCACCCCCACCATAACACCACCCCCTTTTCCACTCCTGTGTATCTCTCACTTTTTCTCTGCACGTCTACGCCACTGGCTGAATTAATAATGAATAAAACAAAAATGCAGTGGGCAGAGAAGGCAGGAAGACTGCGGATGCACTGGCAGTTGTTGACTGCGCTCTCCTCTTTCCCCTTTTTGCGGCAGGCTATTTTTAGCCTTTCCTAAAGCCTGATCTCCGCTGGAACGCTCCTGTACTACATACTCTGCTCACACGCTCCATCTCCTGCCTGTTCAGATCTGCTCAAATCCCAGCTGGACCCTTTAGTTGATTTGCCCCCCCCCCAAAATGCAAATCTCCAATGCTGTCTTTCTCCTGACACAACGCTTCAAATTTTTGTCTATCTGTGGCCAAGAACAACAGGGATGTCTCCCTACAGAGCAGATCGCGATGTGGATTTTAATATCCTTCCTCTGTGATACAAGATAAACTTATAACTCGATTGGCTATCCATCATAATTGTTTTTGCATTTGGCTTTATCTAGTCTTTGATTTGACAACAGTCCTGTGAATATCCCAAAGTCATGCATAAGCAAGACCGATGACGTGATGATGCTGCATTCCTTCATTGTATTCCTGGGAATCTGGAGACGCACTGGCCCAAACTGCACCGCAGAAGCCAGTCATCACCCCAGCCAAAATTGAGCCTCTCTGGGAGGACAAGTACAGATCTGCCATTTTGCTTCTGCTCTGTTCATTGCTCATAGCTTTGAATGCCCAGACTCCTCCCACCTCCATGCCTAGCCAATGGGCTGCCAGGCCTCCGGTGCCTCGCTCGCTCTCTCTCTCTCTCTCTCTCTCTCTCTCTCTCTCTCTCTTTGTGCCTGTCTCTTTCTCTCCCCCTTCTTGCACACACACTTACATGCAGGCACACACCCTGGCCGTCGCCTGCCACTACCCCCTGCTTCTCTCACTCCCTCCGCTCCTCCCTGCCTGGATATTCGTGCTCCGGGATGCCGCCGTCTGACAATGGAATTCTCATGATGCGCTGTGGGATCCCGAGGCCACGATAAAACCCCTTGGGCCCCCCCTTCTATCCTGCCCCCTCCTCTTTTTGTGGAATCTCACGTGAGTATGGGCACCTACCCTCTCCTCCTGCACCAACCCCCCACCCCGGTCGTGGTCCTCAGTGCCGTGCCTTGCGGTGGTTCTCCCGACGGCTATGATGAATAATTTACGGCGGCGGCTCAGCTGCAGACAGTCATCCTTCAGGAAATCAGATCGCTGCTTCTACGAGGCTCTCTGGCCTGCTTAGTTGCGACAAAAAAAACAAAAAAAGAACACGGTCTTGCGCATGCATGGTGTGCATGTGTTTATGTGTTTTGTTTGTGTAACGTGCCAGAACACCTGTCATTTTCAGCACCTGTAGTCAAGTTGGGCGCATCCTCTCTGTTTTTCCTCCTCTCTCTTGCTGTTTTGTTCGTTCCCTCTCTCTCTGACTGGGCTGAGCTGCAGAGGTGTGTTCCTAAAGGTGTGTAGACGAGTGTCTCGGTACTTGTTACACATTTGGGTGTTGATGCTTCATATGGGTGGATGTTTTGGGGTTAGGAGGTTCACTCTGGTTAGAGTCTCTTATCTCCCCAAAATAATTTATTTCTTTTTGTCTGAGACTTGCTGAACCCCCATCTCAGTGGGCTTGTCAGTGTATCTGACATTCAGATCTGTAAAGCATTTACCTGGCAACTAAACTGACTGCCGAGCCAATCTCATGCCGAACGTCAGGCACTGGGTGGATAAGAGAGACCAGCCCATAGATTTCATGGCGCGAGACGTTCCATGATTGAACAGGAGCTGGCAGTGCGGCCGGCTTGTCCTGCAGCTTCTGCTCGACCCATGAGACAGAGACACTCACAGGGACAGCTGTGCCAGGGTGTGATGTCCCCAGACTGACCTGTAGCCACACCACTTCAAGTTTACACAACACATTTTTTCCAAGTGACTGCGACCTCACTGCACTAGAGTTACAGAAATGTAATGACTAAATGTCTTTACATTTTCATCATTAAAAAAAAATCATTTGCATGTCACCCACAGATTAGCTGCTTCTCTAATACTATCCATATGGGCTTCATGGTGTGTTTGTGGGACACTGCAGCCATTGGCATCTGTGACGGGTTGGTAATTTTAATGATGTGTGATATTGTCAGGCGTTCTCCTGAATCTGGTTGTTGTTGTCCTGTTTTTCCCATGTCACACTGGGTTTATTGTTATTTGCAATCCGTAAACATCATGTCAGTGATGATATGAGGGGAGAAGGTTAACACTGGGAAGGTGAAGGGGGCTGGAGATTGGCAGAGGACTTGACTCTTCCAGTCATGGCTGTAAGAAGATGTTGATACGTGACCAGAAAAACGTGCCAGTAGGGTAGGTTAAGAGAAAGGCACTACAGGGTCAGAAATGAGTGGGTGGGGGGGGGGCATTTTTGGGAGAAAACACCAGGAAATTTATGATGTGTAAACAGGCCACCTGTTGGTGCTTTTTTTTGGGGGGGGGGGGGTTCACGGATAGTGACAAGTGCAGTGGTATTCCACTTGGCTTCAAGAGTGTTTCTGCGGTCATCTGGGGAAGTGGTGGGAGTTGCTTCTTGACACTCCTCTTTGTCGCTGCTTGTAAATAAGGCATTTTTGATGCTGAGGGAATAGGACCTCAGGTCCCACGTTCAGAAGCTCCAACACTCGCTTCCTTCGTGCTGTAGCTTTGTGTTGAAGGGAGCAGAGGACTTTGAGAATGATTTGTTGTGATGGATGGTTGCAAGCTGCATAAGACCTGTTATGCGACAAGCCTGAGCAAACAGGCTGTTAAGGGGATTGCATTTCTCAGACTAATGAGCTTGCTGTTGATCTTGTGAGGAAGCTGCCGTCCAATCCTGTTCAATCACTTTGGCCCATGGGAGACCTTTATAAATAAACTGAACAGGACTGATCCCATATTTTCTTTGCAGTATTAGCCCTGAACAGGTTTGAGGTTCTGAATACATCTTGGTGGTTCCAACTCTTGATCCCTTTGGACCCAGACAAAGACACATTCTGATGGTGTCATAATTTACCGTGTTACACATTGGTAGCACCAGCTTGGTTTGGGGTCTAAACTGGGTCACTCTGTCCTGTATATGATATATCTCTGTTCTAGTAGATATTTCTGTAGGAGACTTTAGTTCAGAATTATTTAGCGAGATGAATTTAAAGAGGGCAGTTCAGGTTGTGGATGGTTTCATGCAGCATATTAGTAGGAGAGAGGAATGGAAATGTCAGCAGTGTCCTGAGAGCTCGATACTTAATGCTACAGCAATCCTCTGCATACAGTCACTCCCAAGGCGGCCAAAGGCAAAAACACCAAGCCTGCTGCATTAAGGACTAGCTGACAGCAAGCCTGGACCTTAATGAATCCCTACAGAGATGTCCACTTACATGGTCACGCTATTTATTGACCACTATTGTTAGCTAGTATCTAAGACGGAGAGTATTATTGCGTAAGGTTGCGGTTTCTTTAAACTATCCTGTGCATTCTATTCCAACGATTCACCACTTTCTCTTTCACTGAGATGTGTGAAAAGATTTTCAGTGTGGGGGTGTTTATTTGACAATGGTTACTGTGGCGGGAGAGTAGCCAGTCTTTCGGTTGAATCCAGTACGGATTTGAATCACGGATCAATACCTTACAGCTTGGAAGGAGAAGGTTAATTTTGACAGGAAAAGGGGAAAAAAATCTGGATCATTTATCCAGCCATACATCACTCTTCTAATGGCTTATCGTGGTGAAGGTTACAGAGGATGATAATTTGCAGCAGTGATATTTGACTTCATTTCAGTTAGATGCATGAAGCCATTATGTTTTAAGTGGTTTGTTATGCACATGCTCTTCAGTAGACAGGGTGAATCTCCTGCATTTACACTCGTCTCCTTGTGATGTTGGCTAGGATTTCCTCCTCATTTTCTTCCTCTTGCCGATGCTCCTCCTCCACTGTGGCGGTATTAGATTTTGGCTTGAGAGAACGCACTTTAGTCAAGAAAGTTTATAGTTCTCATTTCAGCAGAAAGGAGGTAAATCAGGTGCCTCAGTGTCCGGGCTGATTCTGCTGAGCAGCTGCTCTCCTGGACCAGCAATGAATAGCGTTGGTCTGTCCCGTTAGCTGCTTAAATGTCATTTTTCAGTGATATTCTTGGCTAAAGCCTCATACCACATCTTCAGTAGGGAAAGCAAAAGGAAATGGGATAGCACAGCTCGCTCTAGCTCTATTCGGTTAAGCAAAAGTGAAGATTAAGTCAAAACTTGGCCGTTTGCTCTTGACATCTCCTGAATTGAAAGTGGTTTTCCAGTATCCTGGATGAGTAGGTGGTGGAGCGGCCGTTTTACAGTGCTGAGGTATACTAAGGACACTGTGCCGGTTTTACGGGTGGACATGTGCCATTTGTGTTTCTTATCCTTTGAATTTGTTGTAAAATCTTGGGCCTCCAGTGTCCGTAGACGTGGCGGTGAGTCATCCCTTGCGGTGGGTCATCGGAAGTGACTTGGAAGTTTATATTCAGTCATCACTCACCTGACACAATTTGTAAGTGCTACAATTTGAGGAATGGGGGAAATCTGCCTTATCGTTTTCATAAACCCCCCTTCCAACCCACCCGTGATTTCTTCAAGGCTTCATGTGGGACAAGCTTAACCTTCTGCATAGTTTTTGAAACCAAAATTAACATGAGATGCTTTTCTCTATGTCCTTCAGCTGGCCATTGTTGCATCAGACTAAGTGGAAGCAATACTGAGCATCTTACTATATAAAGTAAGAGGTGGAGAGTTCAGGTCCAGAAAGTACAAATCCAGACCAAGGTTTTTTTTCAACCAACCAGCTGAGGATTCTGTGACTGACTGTTTATATGGCTGGTTGAAAGAAAACCTTGGTCTGGATTTGTACTTTCTGGACCTGAACTTTCCACTTTCAAGATATACAAACATGAACAGCAGTACGTGGGTCTCCTTAGTCACAAATTCATTGAGTCTGCTGGAGCCTCAGACAGTTTAATCCCTTTGGAATTTCCTTATACTTTTCCACTCAGCCAAAAAGCACAAACTGGGAGGAAGAGATGAGAAAGGCTGGGACAGTATAGACCACCCTCGTTTTATTTAGTGTTCCTTCTTGGGAAGAGGTCGCAGCTGCATGTTTACCCAACAGTGGCATGCTGGGTAGCGATTGAGTCATCAGTGTCTGGGGTAGTTGAGAGACGCTCATCTGAGCCAGTGATTGGGGCAATTTTGTAGCACCACCCCCTACCATCGGTTCCAGTTTGCATAATGCATTGCATCAGGATCAGAACGCGTTGCTTTAAGCCAGCGCTGTAAGCAAGTCGAACGCACCCAATGACTGGACTGGGGAAACAAACAAAGCCATTAAGAAAAAATGCTCTTCTTGTTTTATCCTGTTCATTTTGTGTTTAAATGCTAAAAAAAAAAAAAAACATACTTAGGTGTAATTTTGGGGGGCTGGGAACCAGTTAATTGGTTTTCCATTATTTCTTATGGGAAAAATTTGATCAGAACTCGAACTTTTTAGGATTCGATCCGGAGTCCGGAACGGATTAAGTTTGAGAAACTGAGGTACCACTGTATTGGTGGATCTGGCCACACCCACAGAGGGAGGTATTGGTGGATCTGGCCACACCCACAGAGGGAGGTATTGCTGATGAATGGCCAGGACTGTTCTCTCCATGTATGTCAGACGTCCTTGGTTACACAAAAAATCTTATTTTCCATGAGCAGCTGTCTCTCTCACTCACTCAGTGTGAATAAATAATGCACACATTCAGAGAGATGCACACATACTGTATGTCACTTTGTTTCTGTGAAATTCTGGGAGTGCACAGATTTTTCATGGGGCAGGTGCTCAGGGCGGGGGGTTTAGGGTGAATTTTGCAGATGGGATGGGGGGAGCAGAATTGTCTGGCAACATATTCCCTTCCCTTCTCTGTCTCATTATTGGGGATTCTTGGAGACTTTAGTAGTTAATCTGGAGACAGACAATAATATAAAGTTTCTGGTCTATTCATCCAAACAGACATGGCAAATGAGACCTGCAGTGT